CTGCCCGTGATAATAGATATATGTAAATTACAGCAGAAAGCCTCATCTTTCTCCCACGGAGCGGCTGGTAGTTTCAAACCGCTGCCCGTGATAATGTTGTTGTTGTTAAGTGCCATCGAGTCGGGTTCGACCCATAGCGACCCTGTACAGGGTTTCCGAGGGTGTAAATCTTTACGGGAGCAGAAAGCCTCATCTTTCTTCCGCGGAGTGGCTGGTAGTTTTGAACCGCTGACCTTAAGGTTCGCAGCCCTATTCGTAACCACTACGCTACCAGAGCTCCTTTGATATATGTAAATTACAGCAACTAGAACATAAGTTGTTGCTAAGTACTGTCAAATTGATTGCAACTCATTGTAACCCTAGAAGACAGAGTGGATCCATGCCATAGGGTTTTCTTGGCTGCGATCTTTATGGGAACTGATGACCTGTTGTCTTCTCCTGCTGAATAGCTTTTGGTTAACAGCCAAGCTCTTAACTATTTTGTCCCCTAAGTTGTTGTTGTTGTTTAGTGTCATTTAGTCAGTTCCGAATCATAGTAACTGACCCTGGGTAGGGCTTCCGAGGAGCTGCTGGTAAATTTGAACCACTGACCTTGCAGTTCAAACTGACCTCTCAGTCTAGTGTTAATCCTACAGTGCCACACCTGAAGTCCTACCCCATAAGTAGTAGCTGTTTTAATTTAATTTAAACTTGTTTTAATATAGTAAAAAGATATAGTTAAAGACCCATGAATTTAAATACTATTTAGTAAATATTGAAATGAAATTTGACTTGTCTTGAGGATCAGTTTCAGGGTACTGAGAATAACAGATTATTTATGGTGGATGGCCCAACTAACTGGGCACCAGCTTTTGGGTCCTTGCTATTCATGTTTGGCCCAAGAGCTTAAGGTTTCCAAAGACCCACTACCTGTATCAGAATCACCTAGGTGTGTTTGTTGAAAGGACAGATTCCCAGATCTCCCTGGAGAGCTATTGCATTAGAATCTTTGCCCATCAAAGGATTGTGAGAACCTCTGAGTGTCCACGGGATGTGTGGTACTCTTTTAGGCTACAGAGTGGTGGCCTCCACACAT